GCCATGGATGATGCCTCTGACGCGGCTGCTGATGCTGCCGCCGGCCTTGCGCTGCCCGCGGCGGTGGGCGCTGCCGCAGGCGCTGCCTCGGATGCTGCCAGCGGCGTCGCAGGATACGGCTGCGAATGCGATCGTGGCAAGTCCTACCCGTGCTACGTGAACGGAGTCCTTGTAGGGTACCACATCCACCGGAACAGGATCACGTGGCTTACTAACGATGAATGGTACAATCTGCCTTGCTGGACCTGGCTATCAAAACTGGAGCATGAACAACATTTCCCGCCGAGAGAGGCGGCGCTGGTTGGGAATGCTGACAGAGAAAGAGGGCGGTCTCGCACGCCTCGTGGCATGGACGTACAGACGGGGGGATCGGCGACTTCAAATCCGCCGCCTCCAGCGCCGCCCAGGCGAGAGAGTTCGCACAATACGTGGGGGGGCTTCAACTGAGCGCGGCCCGCGTGACTCCGCCCGCGGCAGGCGCGCGCAAAACATTTTACCCACGCGCTAAGCGTGTTGGGCGCGGACCTCTCTACTGGTCGGCTAAGCCGGTCCAGCGGGGAGAAATTATTTATAACAATGGTGGGGAACGTCGGGCCTCTTCGGCCCTTGGCCCCCTGGCAGCCACCGTTGAGCCGTAAAAGCTTTTTCGGGTTGGCCCCGGTGGTTGTGCAAATGTGCAGGCCGGGTGTGCTGTGGCTGGATGGGCTCTGCGCGGCCCGCCGCGGGGGGTATAAATGTGCTCCTCTCCGCCTCGTATCCAATTAGAACTTAACTTAGCTTGCGTGCATCGCACTGTCCGCGTGAACTGAAGCTGCGTTTCCGCAGCCACACGTCTGCTCGAGCCAGCCGACCGCGGCTGGCAGGAGAGAAAAGGAGCGCGCTGGGGTGCGCGGGCGGCTCGTCGTCGTCCGTCCTTGGCCGTCCCCCTCCCTTCCCATTCCTGATAGAGTAGTCTTGCTTAACGGATACTTGTCTTACCTATGTCTCATCCCGCCTCCGCTCTCCCTGAGCAGAGTGAACATGAGATCTTAATTCCTTTGTCATCTTTCCCCGATTCTCAGAGGAAAAACTCTAATCGAGCACACGATCGTAATGATACTCGAAACCACCTCACGGATCTTAATCATCCTCGGCCCTCCGTGCACCATTATCAGCAGGCGCGCGCGCGTCGAAGACTAAACTTGTGCTTCTGGCAAGCGGCCCACAACACTTCATGTGGGATTTGTTCGTAAGCCTTCTCAATATCGATCAGCCCTGAACTTGAGAAACCACCGATGGAATCTGCCGCCTCTGCTTGGACCGCCTGTTTCCACACTGACTGCTCACGAGACTCACCTTTGGGGCCGTACACGCAGTCGAGGTGGTGCTCGCGCTCCCACTTCTTGGCCTCCGAGTGCCGAATGCGACCGAGCAGCCGCGCGCACGTGGCCAAGATGCCGATCGGACGGTCTATATCCACCGTCGGGTTTCTTCAAAAACAATGAGCGCCAGGTTACACTACTCTGGTATAGTGAAATACGTTTCCACAGCCGACAAGAACCCAGCAAAAACAGCCAAACCTTGATCACTTAGTTGTTTCAAGTTCCCTGGATTCCAGCCGTCAATCCCGATCGCCGTGTTCTTCTTGAGCTTCTGAAAGGACCTCTCGAACCTCTGAAACCGTGGGCATTGGATGGGGGCTCCCCGAGCGGCACGTTCAGGTCCTGGGCTCTTAACCTGGATGGTTCACCTTCACGCCATATGTGCTTCCATTCTTCCAAAAGGGCCTCCACAGTGTCGACAGGCCCAGCTGGGGCCCCATCCAGACCAGCCCCATCAGGGACCCATCCCAGAGGTTCCTTCGTCCACCGAGACAATCCTCCTCCCCCTTGCTTGAGATTTTGATCCACCCATTGCCTCCACTGCTTAGAGTTCTTCGTCCTGGCGCTCGACTCTTCAGTATCTGCAATGGCCCGAACGGCCGCCAGTGCGTCCTGCAGCTCCTCGTGGGAGACGGTGGCGTGCAGCTGAAAGCGTTGCTTAAAACTCACCCATTCTGGAATACTGCTGAGCACCTTTAATGGGGGCCTCGAGCTTCCTAACCAAATCCTGAACTCCAGCTTAATACCAATAATGCTCCTTCCCATGAAGATATAACAGCTCCTCCAGCCAGACCTGATATCTCCTGAGCGTCCTGGTCTCCAGACTGCACCGTGGAAAAGGTCCCGAAACGTGCTGCTGCAAAACTGGCTTCTCGACCACCTGGAATTTAGTACCCCTCCCACAGTACTTAGCACGCTCAGCAGCCTCGATGCCTAGCACGTCGCACAACTCCTGCTCCATGGTGTCATAGAACACATATAGATCTGCAAACGATGGCTGCCGTCGCAGCCGTCCAAACTTGCCCTCGAACTGGGTCCAGTCCTGTGGCGGAGGCGATGGACCTGTGGGCTTCTCTAGCGGGAAAAGGCTTTGGCAGCTTCAGCACCTTCTGAGTCCTCTGGTGTGCCGTCGTACCTAGCCTAAGTGAAACTGGATAATGTGTCCTGTTGCTGGAGTCTTATCGCCTGACGCATGCCCGAACTTCCCCGACAAGATCGTGCGATACGACGCAGTAGTCAAGTTCACGCCACACTTCCTCCTCCTCCTCCTCCTCCTCCTCCTCCTCCTCCTCCTCCTCCTCCCTCCTCCCTCCTCCCCCCCTCCCTCTCCTCCTCCCTCCTCCTCCTCCTCCTCTTCCTCCTCCTCATAATCCTCCTCCTCTTCCTCCTCCTCCTCCTCCCTCCTCCTCCTTTCCCTCCTCCTTTCCCTCTTCCGCCTCCTCCGCCTCCTCCTCCCTGCTGCTTCGCCGCGGCCGTGTGGTCTGGCAGCGCCCCTTGGCCCAGGCAGGGCTCCACGGCGCGGGACTCCGTTTCGATCTCGGCGAGCCCCCCGGTCCGTTTGCTCGAAAGGGGGCCGGGGCCCGGCGCTTTTGCCCACAGCGTGCCCATCGGTCGTTGAATTGCGTCGGGCCTGTCCCTCTACAGGACCAGTATTCAAACAAGTCAAAAATAGTACGGGGATTGTTTTGGTTTAGCATTTTTTTGTTGGGGGGGGGGGGGTATTTTTGGGTTATTTATCATTGTTCGTCAAAATTCCCCCTGTAGGGGGGCATGTCCGACCTAATCGTCGAGCGTGGGTATTTTCTGGATTTGCGGATTCCAATATATATATATATATATATATATATATATATATATATAATTTCGGCGCCTTCCTGCTTCAACGATCGAGCTGCTTCATCTCTCCCGTCCTCTTCGGGGTGCGTTCGGGCCCCCAATCTGCGCTCGACGCCTTCCTGCTTCATGGTTCTGCCTACTTCTTCCGACCGATGGGGGTGATGTTGTGCGGAGATCGAGTCGAATGTTGTCAGCACTTGCCAGGAGGGAAAAAACACGGACACAATTCATCGCCGAGTCCCCAGAACATATGGGAAATTATGGGAAGTGGGGGGAGACGAAAACCCAGAAGATATGGGACAACATGGGGAATCCTGTTGTTATTGTCTATTTATTTGTGTGTCCCAGGGCCCCTTCAGGGTAATGCTGTGCGGAAATCGAGTCGAACGTTGTCAGCATTTGACCCTTCCTTGAATCCAGCAGCTTCAGCTTGACGCACGGCCCCTTGCCCTGCTCCTCCTTCGGCGGCGGCGCCGCCCTCTCCGCTGGCCTTGCAGCTGCTGCGGCTTCACGCAGGCGTACTGTGCCTCCCTGCCCTCGGGGTTCTCCAAGACCAGGAGGACGAGGACAGGGAGAAGGAGGAGCAGGAGGAGGAGGAGGAGGACGAGGAGGAGGAGGACGAGGAGGAGGAGGACGAGGAGGAGGAGGAGAAGGAGGAGGAGAAAGAGGAGGAGGACGAGGAGGAGCAGTCGCCCGAGCCGCTGCCACGATCGCCGATCAGGAGCGAGCCTGGCCGGCCCACGGCCGCCCTCGCAGGCTCTGCCCCCCCGGGGCATTTGCGTGGCCGTGGGCTCCTCCGTGCCCGCACTCTGCACCGCCGGGCCCGCCGCGAGGTCCAGCGGCGGCCTCGCCCAGGAAGCCGCTCCTGCGGCGGCCGCGCTTGCCGCGGCGCAGAGCCCAGCCGACCCGCCCCCCGCCGCTGTCGAAGCAGTGCGCTCGGCCCTCCGCCAGCTGGGCGCGGACGAGCTCGCCCTCCAACCCAGCGCACGAGATGCCCTCAAGCGAGGCTCCGTGCTCGCATCCTGCATCACGCAGGCGTGCGGTGCCTGGAGCGCGTGCCCCCCCCCCGCCCCCCCCCGCTGCAGTCCGTCCTCCTGCGAGGTGAGCGGGGCGCCGTCCTCGCATCGTGCGACAGACCCTTCACCGTGTCCACCGCGATGCTCTTCTTCTCTACAGTCGGCCCGGATTAGCAGGTCGACCCTGCCAGCTCAAGGGTACCCTTGTGTCCTGTGCCTCGTGACACGTGCCTTCTGACACTCCTTTGGCGATGTGGCCCTCGGAAGGGTCTTGTGTCCTCTCGCGTGTCCTGTCCAATAAAGGCCGACTGTAGCTTCCCCTTCACGATTGCCCGCGTGATCTTCCTATATTTTGGGCAGCTTCTCTGGTCACGCAGCGCACCCCCTCGTCCTTCTTGCTTTCGCTGAGCGCGCCGATGAGGCCCCAGCTGTGGGCCGAAGCAGCCGCCGCCATCGACGAACTCCACGTCGACCGAGAGCTCGGTGGCGGAATCCCGAAGGAACCCAGTCGCGAAGCCCTGAATCTTGTGCCCCAGGGAGGCAGAGAGGAGCTAACCCGCAACGATGAGCTTGAGCTTCAGGCGCAGCGCGCCCTGAGCCGCCATGGGCCCGCCCGGGCTGCGCCTCTGTGAAGTGTGCCCGAGCAGCCCCAGACTTGGGCTGAGGGGGACAGGCAGAGGAGGCGGAGGAGGATGATTAGGAGGACGAGGAGGACTGATAGTGAGGTTTATGAGGCTGGTGACTAGGAGGGGCATGTGGCAGGAGGGGGAAACGCAAGGGGATGGAGGACCCCCGCTGTCTTTACCCGAGGTGGAGGACCGGGCTGAGCCCAGCCTCAACACGTTCACCATCTTCCCTATCGATTCGGGGTTGTCTCTGGCACCTCGCCGCCGTACCCCCCTCTTCGAGGGCTGAGGGTTGGAAGTGCAGGGGGAGGTGGATGACGATGGCGGTACCGATGACAAGGGAGATGATGATGACTCGCCGCCTGGCGTCGGTGATGGTCTGGCCTCAACTGGAGCTCGTGGCCAGCGAATGAGCTTAGATGCTGTCTCATGAAAGCATGTGCACCTGCATGCGTGCAGGAAGTTCTGCGAGGTCTGCCGCGGTGAGCTGGTTGACGGTCTGCTCCAGGCACCCAGGTCGCCCTGAAAGTCTCGACTGGGAGGAATCCGTGACAATCAGCCCAGTTGAAAACAGTCTGCAAGATACTTGACCATTCGCTTGGCCCTAACCTTTTCCCCGGACACTTTCGATCTTTCAGTCGGCCCGGATTAGTAGGTCGACCCTGCCAGCTCAAGGGTACCCTTGTGTCCTGTGCCTCGTGACACGTGCCTTCTGACACTCCTTTGGCGATGTGGCCCTCGGAAGGGTCTTGTGTCCTCTCGCGTGTCCTGTCCAATCAAGGCCGACTGTATTCCTGTTCGCCACCTATTCCCAGAGCGATCGGTGCATTTGGAAAGGGGGTGAGCTGATGTGGCGGCACCTCGCCCTGAGACTCTCTTCTGGGCGCGCATTCGGCTGGCTCTCGATGGCACCAAAGGATTCAGCAGCCTCGGGAAGCATTGGTCAGGAGGGAAAACACACTGACACAATTAACCGTCGATTCCCCAGAAAGTATGGGAAAATATGGACATGTGAAAATATGGTGAATCCTGTTATTTGTGTGAGTTTATTTGTGTGTCCCAGGGCCCCTTCAATTGGTCCAGAGTCTCGAGTGACCTGAGATCGGTCTGCTGCTCGAGCTTTCATCGAACAACTAGCATCGTGACGCAACCGCTTTTGTTCTATCGAATTGTCTTAGCCTGGATCTCGAGATTCGGATGGAGTTCAAGGCTTTGCACATTCGTACACGCGTCGCGCGTGTGCGACCAGTAGCTTCTTTTTGTTGCTCTCCCAGAGACCTGGAATCGGGTTGTTATCCGAGCTAGAATCGAACAACTGGTCTCACTCTGCAACTGTTCTGCCGATTCACGTGTCTTTCTATTACATTCCGAGATATAGAGCATTTACATAGCTCTCGATTGCACCACCGGACTCAGCAGCCTCGAAAGCACTAGGCCAGAGCCTTGGAAGGCCTGATATCGGTCTGCTACTCGAGTTATGTGCGATCAGCTCGTATCCCTCTGCAACCGCCATTGCTCGATCGAACAGTTTTTTGCCTGACTCGAGATTCAGAGTGAGGTCAGGCGTGCCTCTTCGCGCACGCGGGTACGACCAGTAACTTCACTTTTGTTCTCAGAGATCTCTTTTCGCCTTGATACTCGAGCTATCATCGACCGACTAGTCTCACTCTGCAGCTGTTCTGCTGTTTTGCGCGGTGTTTCTGCTAAGCTTCGAGATTTGAGGCAGCTACAGGGCTCTCGAGTGCAGCAGCCGATTCAGCAGCCTCGAAAGCACTGGCTCACAGTCTCGAGAGGGTTGATTCAGCGCAATTATCTTGAGATGTCTGTGCTCGGGCAGAAGCTCTACGAGTCCACCGGCGGTAACCTTGGTTGACGCTTTACCGCTGGCGCCCAGTTTGTTACCAGTTCCGTGTTGCTGCTTTCGTGCTGGTTCCAGCTCCGTTTTTTCCGGTTCCGTCGCCGTTCTTTTGCCATTTCCGATTCCGGTTTCAATTCCAGAGCCGTTTTTTTGCCGTTTCTGGTTGCTGCTGTTTTATCGTTCCCATTCTCAAGAGATTTTCGGAAACGGTGAAACAACGGCCCTGTTGTTTCTGGGGCCCACCAGAGTCGGTGAGGTGGTCCGTGGCACCCCCCGGGCTATAATACTTAGGACCCCCCACCTCACCCCAACCTTCGTCGGCGCACCAAAGGGGGAATTGAGAGGGCTTGCCTTCTTGGAAGGCGGCAGGGCTTGTCAGGAACCCTCCGAAGGCTCAGAACCTTTCTCGAGAGGCCAGAAGACCTCCGTCAGGAGGGAAATACACACAGACACAATTCATCGTCGATTCCCCAGAGAATATGGGAAAATATGGGAAGCGGGGGGGAAGACAAAAACCCAGAAAATATGTAGAAATATGGTGAATCCTGTTACTTGTGTGAGTTCATTTGTGTGTCCCAGGATCCCTTCAACCTTTCTCGAGAGGCCAGAAAGCCTCTGAGCCGAGCCTTCTGACAAGGCTCGCTCCCTTGGCCTGTCGCCGTGGGCGCGCCGCCGATCTTGGACCCCCACACACAGGGCCCACTTCGACTCCTTCGACTCGAGTCGATTATGTTCGACGTCGATTCCGACTCCGATCCGATTCGATTCGATTCGAATCCAGTTCCGGTTCTGATTCGATTCCGGCGCTGGACCCCCGCCCAGGGCTCATGCCGATTATTCTGACTCGATTTCGATGTTGATTCGATTTCGATTCCGACTCCGATGTTGATTTGATTCGATTTCTGATTCTGATCCAGATTCCGCCTCGTTCGATAGAGTCCTTACTGCCGGCTCGGAAGCATGTCCCTTCACGTCACACCAAGGCCCAGACCACAACCGAAAGACACATGAAGCCTTCCACGCCCAACCCCGTCCACCTCGGCGGGCATGTTGTCCGAACGCCCCCTCCATAAAGTTCTAAACGGGCTTGCGCGTGCGGGGTGGGCCCTAGGGCCATCCACTCCTTACATACGAGTTTTATCAATGAGAGTTGGAGCCTGGTTTCGGCGATTCTGCCCAGGACGTCCTCACAAGTTGACTGGTTTCGCTCCTTGTTTCGCCTGGTTTCGCCTGGGTGGTCGGCGCAAGCGGCTTGAGGCATCCTCGTGCTTTGTTTCGCCACTGGTTTCGCCCCTGGTTTCGGCGCGGTTTCGCCTGAGACGTCCTCGCAATTCCTGGTCAGGGGCGCTCTCGCCCGAGGCGTCCTCGCAACTTGCTTGGTCTCGGGCCTCGGCAGTGCTTTTTGGTCTGGCTTCGGCTCGGTTTCGCTCGGGACGTCCTCGGAACCTGCTGGGTTTCGCCCGGTGTCGACGCGGTTTCGCTTCGAGACGAGCTCGGCGAGAGCCGAGAGAGAGCTCCGGCAGGCGGCCCTGGAGCCCCGCACCCTGTGGTGGGGCCGGCGGGCGCACGGGAGGACGATTTCTGGCTGCTGTCGGAGGGCTTCCTGGACCCGCCCGAGCTCGCCAGGGTGGCCGCCGGAAACCTGCGGAAGAGGACGGGCGGGCGGGTCGCCGTGAATCTGGGCCTCCTAGATGGGGTCACAGTAGATGGGGTCGGAGGATCGCACCAGATCGCCGATGCATCGCCGATGCAGCTCGATGTGGAGCCCGATTTCCTTCACGTCGACGTCGCCGATGCATCGCCCACGTCGACGCCTCATCCCCGGTGCATCGCCGGTGCATCGCCGATGCATCGCCGATGCATCGCCGATGCATCGCCGATGCATCGCCGATGTATGGGCGATGCGGCGCGATCCTCCGACCCCATCTACTCCAACCCCGTCTAGGATGCCTCTGGTGAAGCGGACGGGTCCTGAGGGTGACGGGTCCTGCGGCTTTCCCCGGTTCCTGGGCCCCATCCGCGCGCCCCCGGATGGTCCCGAGGCGGCTCAGGGCGCAGAGGCGGTTCCGGGGGGAAGGCCCCGGGGCCCAGGACGTGGTGCCCGCTGGCCCGAGGGTGTGTGAGGGGTGCCCTGGCTTTGGAGCCGTCTGAGGGTCTGAGGCGGCGCGCCTGGGTGAGACAGTAGCGGGTGCGACCAGGAGCGCGCAGGATAGATTGATGGGCGCGGGTAGAAGAAGAAACAACAGCCACGCAGACATGAATCCCACCAGCCCTTTAGGGCGTGAGTGGTTTAGAGAGCCCCCTCTGTCCTCAACCCCCCTTCTTCCCCTTCGGGGAGGGGTTTACCCCTCCCCCTACCCCCTCCCCCTGGGCCTGGAGAGGGCGTCCCGCGGGTGGTTGGAGGGGTCTTCTTCGACTCCTGGGAGGGCCAAAAAACGGCGACCCTCACGAGGATTCTGGCCCCGTCGGGGGGGCCCAGAAAAAACCCTCTCCTCTTCTGTGAAGCCAAAATCTTTGCTTTTACGAGGGTTTTGGCCCCATTTTGGCCTCCCGAGGGGGCCGCGCCCATCTTCCTTCATAGCAAAATCATTGATTTTACGAAGGTTTTGGGCTCATTTTGTCCTTCTCAGGGGGCAGCGCTTCTTTGCGCTTCTGAGGAGGTCGCAAGAGGCCCCAAGATGGCCCCAAGAGGCCCCCAGGAGCCTCCCAAGAGGCCTCCAAGAGGCCCCCAAGAGGCCCCCAAGAGGCCCCCAAGAGGCTCCCCAAGAGGCCCCAGAGGAGAGGAGGCCCCCAAGAGGCCCCCAAGAGGCCCCCAAGAGGCCCCCAAGAGGCCCCAAGAGGCTCCAAGAGGCCCCCAAGAGGCCCCACGAGGAGCCCGAACGACTCACACCAGGACGAGGGGCCCGAACGACTCACACCACGAAGAGCCCGAACGACTCACACCACAAGGAGGGGCCCGAACGACTCACACCAGGACGAGGCGCCCGAACGACTCACACCACGAGGAGCCCGAACGACTCACACCACGACGAGGGCCCCGAACGACTCACACCACGAGGAGCCCGAACGAGTCACACCAGGAGGAGGGGCCCGAACGACTCACACCAGGATGAGGGGCCCGAACAACTCACACCACGAGAAGCCCGAACGACTCACACCAGGACGAAGAGCCCGAACGACTCACACCACGAAGAGCCCGAACGACTCACACCAGGAAGAAGGGCCCGAACGACTCACACCAGGACGAGAAACCCCAAACGACTCAAATCACGAGGAGCGCTTTCTCTCCCTCCTCCTCCGCCTCGTCCTTCTCCCGCTCCCCCCACAAGGAGGATGTACAAGGAGGCGGGAGGAAGGAGGAACAGGGGAGATATGCGGGGCCAAACGGACACACGCCTGAAAAACACGACTGTCGCCATGCTTCGCATGAGTTGCTGTTGTGAGATGGGCTGGTGGGGATACGCGAAGCGTAAAGAATTTTTGGCGCTCCGCGTGTATTTCTCGGCTCTGCGCCTGGGCCCCACCGTGGGCCCCCCCCGGCAGCGCCTCCGGCGCCGCCCCTGGCGCGCTCCGTCCGCCGGGGAGGGGGGTCCGGCGCGGTTCGAAGACACCTGCTCGGCGCGCCAACAGTTGATGTTTATGTGGCTTCTCCATTTTCTAACGGAGGCCATGAAGTCCACTCGGCCGAACGCAGCCGGCTGCGGCGCAGCCGAACCCACCGAGCCGCGAACACCTTTGGCTCACCCTGGTCTCGGCGGCGAGCCCGGGGGGGAAGCGAGACGTACGGGGCGGGCCTTCTCAGAAGGCCCAGCAGTCCCCCAGCCTTCTGGAAAGTCCCTGGAGCCTTCCCCGAAGACACCGAAGACAACTTAACTCCGAAGGCGCTGGGGCTTCCGAGAGGCACCGCCGCCTCCTGTCAGTATCGTTTAACCGATTCCCATCCCCATCCCCATCCCGAGCCCCACCATCTCACCGCCCCAGTTGGGGATCCACCCCTCGAAACCCGAAGCGAGCAGCCTACATCTCAATCGAGGGGGGGCAAATCGGCCACTGGGGCCCAGGCCACACCCGTGGGCATAGGGATCGTTTCAACGCTGCTCATCCTGGGAGGGCCTTTTTTCTCCTCCTCGCTTCCCCCCCGGGGCGCGCCGCCGCGCAAGATCAGCTCGGTGTGATGTGGGAAGGTCGGGTTGACCCAAAAGGGGGTCCAGCGACAAGGGGGTGGTGCAATAGATTCGGTGCAATAGATTTGTAGGGTTGCAATACATTTGGGGCGTGCAATACATTTCGGGGCGCAAGTGTACTGCTGTATTTTCGCGTGCGATGCATGACTTGCAATCCAACGCCATACAATTCTCCGGCGCAGTACATTTGCAACACAATTGCCCCAAATCTATTGCCTCCCCCCCCAGGTGCCCGCCGCCGATGGCGGCGACAGCGGCGGCGGCGGCGGCGGGTCGCCCTGCCCGTCGCAGCCGTCGCTCGTAGCCGTAAGTCGGGCCTGCCCCTCTACAGGAGGAGAATTCCCAAATAGTCAAACAATCGTCAGGGGACGATTTGTTTTCGCATTGTTTATCTATTCAGCGGCATTCGTTTGGGCTTTTTGAATTTTTCGCCCAAGATCCCCCTGCAGGGGGAACATGCCCGACCTAATCGTAGCCGTCGCGGCGACGGCGACGGCGGCCGGCGGCGAGGGGCAGAGCTGTCGTTCGGCGGCGAGCGAGGGGGAGAGGCGAGAAGGAGAAGGCCCTCTCAGAACCAGGCGGTCGCACACACGGACGATTTTTTGAGTCTTTTTTGGACCAGCGGAATATTTGTTGTCTGACTATTTTTTTTGGTTCGTCCAACATCCGCCTGAAGGGGGACACGCTCGACCTAAGTCAGGAGGAGAAAAAACACACACACAGACACAATTAATCGTCGATCCCCCAGAAAATATGGGAACATATGGGAATTGGGCGGGAAGACAAACACCCAGAAAATATGGGAAAATATGGGGAATTATTTTATTTGTGTGTATTTATTTGTGTGTCCTGGGGCCCCTTGACTAAGACTATTCTTATTTTTCTTCCAGAATCCTCAGGCGACCGCAGGCATGGATCAAGGGGGCGTGGATTAGCGGCGGGTTCCATTGCCATGGGAAATCGCGGATCTCCGCCGCCGAGCGAGGCGGCACCGGCAGCATTTTTGGGAGGGCGTCTCCCCCGATCCATGGATTTGGCGACCGCGCGCCGAATCCATGGATCGCTATTCCATGCTTGCGTGCCCCCGACAGCAGGCGGCGGGACTTCTCGAGGTCAGAGGAGGCCTACCCCTCGCTCGTTTTCCCATTTTTGGGCCTCCTGGGCGGTCTTCGTTACCACCGCCGGCTTCGCCTCGAAAGTCTGGTCAGAACGCATCCCGGGAGAGGTCCAGGGAGTAGCGGTATCGGAACCTTCTGCTCTCCCCAAGAGGGCCCCCTCGGGGGGGCTCCAAGATTTGAGTCGGGCGTGTCTCTCTACAGGAGGAGTATTCAGAAACAGTAGAAACATTGTCTGGGGACGATCTTTACAGAATCTCGTTTTCTATTTTGTTGTAGTGTATGTTCAGAGTTTTTCGGTAGTATTCTATTGTCTGGGAACGATTCGTTTCTAGTTTTTATTGTTGAGTATTTTTCATTTGTCGTCCAAAATCCGCCTGTAGGGGAACATGCCAAACCTAATCCAAGATGGAGCGAGAAGCCGGGGGCACCCTGGTCCAGGGGCACCTCCAGGAGCCCCCCGAGCCCGAGGAGCGTCCCGAGAGCCAGAGGCCCCTCCTGTGCCCAAAGGGGTCTTCATGGTCTCTAGGCCTCCTCCTGGGTGGGGTCGGATTGGATGGGGTCGGTGGATCGCGCCGCATCGCCGATGCATCGCCGATGCGGCTCGATGTGGAGCCCGATTTCCTGCACGTCGACGTTGCCGATGCACCGCCCACGTCGACGATGCATCTCCGGTGCATCGAGGATACATCGCCGACGCATCGGCGATGCGCAGCGAGCCCCCGACCCCGTCCACTCCGATCCCATCCGGGAGGCCTCTACGGTCAGCGTCTCGACTGCACCGCTCTTCACTGTGAAACTCAAGGGAACTTTTTCATGGGTCTTTTCTATGTGCTCTATCCTGTAGGGATGCTCCCTGGCGCCTCCTTCATGGGAGATCTCCCCGATCCTTGCGGAAGAAGAGAGGTCCTTGCTCTCTGTGGGGGGGGGGGACTTTGCCTAAGCTGTTCGGGCGAAGAGAAATATGCACATGCACCGATCTTGGCCATGCCCATCCTTGGCCCAGGATCAGTGCATAGGCTCTCCTGGCCAAGGCAGGAGGGCGTATGCACCGATCCTGGGCCCAGGGTGGGCCTGGCCAGAATCGGTGCATGTGCATACTTCTCGTTCCTCCAGCTGTCCTCTACTGGGATCTGGAGTGATTGCCTCCAGAGGAGGGGCGTCCTGGAGCAGCGGGACGAGCGCGCCGGCGGCCTGGCCCTCGAGGGCGTGGAGCCGGTGCAGCACTGGGTGCGGTCGGCGGACGGCGCCCGGGTGCCCTTCTTCCTCGTCGGGCCCAGGGGCTCCGGCGAGGACGGCCCCCGCGCGGCCTCTTTCAGAGGATTCTCTAGGGGAGCGTGAAGGAGGAGGAGGAGGAGGAGGAGGGGGAAGGAGGAGGGGGAAGGAGGAGGAGGAGGAGGAGGGGGAGGAGGAGGAGGGGGAAGGAGGAGGAGGAGGAGGAGGAGGAGGAGGAGGAGGAGGAGGAGGAGGAGGAGGAGGAGGAGGAGGAGGGGCCGCCTAAGCCCTTCGGAGAAACCCTTCCCTCCCCCTGGGACAGGGCCTCTTCTCTAGGAGAGCGTGAAATACCTACCCCGCTTTCGCTTCCAGGCAAAACCAAGCCATACCACGCGCCTCTTCGTCAAGCGGCCTGACCAGTACAGGCCATAGTTTGGCATCGCTGGGTATCTCCTGGCAGCGAGGGTGGTCAAAAGCGAGGTCGGTTTGTTTGCCCCCTATTATCGAGGGGAACAAAAAGTGGCATAAACATAAAAACCTCGGAGGTCCGCGCGGATTTCTCGGATCGGCGCTGGACCCCCCTCCCTGGCGCGCGGAGCGCGCCAGGGGCGGCGCCGGAAGCGCCGCGGGTGTGGTCCAGCGCCGATCCGAGAAATCCGCGCGGACCCCGAGGTTTTATGTTTATGCCTCGAGCCCCTCCTGGATTATCGGCGGCGTGCGAGGGGGGTAATTGAGATCGAGAAGGCCCTCTCAGACGGGGGCGGGCTGAAGCCTTCCAGCCTTTTGGGGAGTTTTCCGTGTCTTCGGGGAAGGCTTAGGGTGGAAACTTCTCAGAATGCCAGGGGACTTCCGAACCTTCTGAGAAGGCTCGCCCCTTCGAATCATCGAGGATGAGTGTTTTTGTTTTGACACGAGGGAGCATGCCGACACCGATGCCCTTCATTCGTTTTCGCCTAAACGGGCCACCTGGCTGGCTCTCGTTAGTACGGCTGGGTTTGCCTCGGGATCCTGGTCAGAACGCAGCCTCGGAGAGGGGCGGGAAGTAACATCCGTCGCCGTATTTTGGTCTGTCTCTCATCCTCCTCGTCCCTACCTGACCGTCCTCGCCTTTTGCACCGATCTTTGCCAGTGCGGGCGCTTCCAGGACAGGTGCATACTTCCGCCTTCTGGCCAGATGAGGACGGCGAATCCAGGTCTACCCATTCTGGGCAGAGCATTGGCTTGGGCAGAACTCGGTTCAGCTGGGTGGATTGAGGGTGTTCTCCTGCCTGTTTCTCTCCGCCGTCGTCCGCCTCCTCCTCCTCCTCCTCCTCCTCCTCCCCCTCCTCCTCCTTCTCTCTTCCCTGGCAGAGGGCGGCGAGAGTCCGGCGGAGAGCGGCGGAGACAAATCGAGGCCATCTTCGCCGGCGGACGCTGGCGGTAGGCCGGCGGACGCCAGCGGAAGCAGAATTTGTCCTCCGAGAGGTGGCACTTTTTTGGAGGGGTCAGGGTTTCCGGAGCCCGCCCCAGAGATCGTGCATGTTGAAAAATCAAGGCGGAGGTCTTTCGCCGTTTTCGGCCTCTGGAGGGACCGTCAAAGAACAACTCAGGATGAGAAGCGGGGGGAGCCCCGTCGTGAAAAATCACGACGTCGGATCTCTGGGGCCATGTGATGGGCCATGCGCCAGAGTGACCCTTCGCCGGAGTGACCTCAGGGTGCGGGCCCACAGGCCCCCCCCCTTGGCAGTGGCTTGCGCGCGTGGATTTGGGCACAGAGCCGCGCACCGAAGGTTGCTCTTGCCCAGGGCCACTCTTGCGTGTGGCCGATGTGACGCACATCAGCCCCCGTGGCTTCCGCCGACAGGCCAGACGCCAGGCTGAAGCAGATGCGGGAGACGGCGGCCGCCCAGCAGGGCGGCAGCTCGAGGCTGACGGCCGTGGTGGGCTCCCCAACCACCGGCTCCAAGGTCCCCCAAGGGGGGAGAGAACATGTCCACGAAGCGTTGTTCGCAGCCGCCACTGCACACATTCCAGTGGGCACATTCCTCGGTCACCGAACGCGTTCCACCACTCGCAAAGTGCCTACTCGCAAACGTCAGAAAGGCAAACATGTCTTCCTCTATGTCATGGATCGTAGATCCCCCGCGGCGGATCCAGGTCATTTGCGAGTAGTTACTCTGCGAGTAGTGGAACGCGCTTGTCCACTCGGAGTAGGTTCGCGAGCGTGAGACTTCGAGAAGTATGGGCTCCATGTTTCGTTCCCCCGCGTACCTTCGTGGGTCTATGTGCGGCTCTCCATCCAAGGCCTCGAGCAGCGGCGGCGGCATCTGGAGCAGCGACCTCGCCGCCGCGGACCTCGTGAGGCGGTCTCGTAAGCTTCCGTGAGAGAAGGCAGAGATACCGACACCGCTAGCCTTCCCTCGTTGCCACAGCTGGCTTCGCTTCGAACCTCCTCCGCCGCCGCCGCCGCCTCCCCCTCCTCCTCCTCCTCCTCCTCCTCCTCCTCCTCCTCCTCCTGGTCAGAACGCACCCCTGACGAGGTCCAGGGAGTAGCGGTATGGGAAAATTTGGTTTGTGCCCCAAGCGCTGAGCGGAGGTCTGCGCGGATCTCTGGCACCGGCGCTGGGCCCCCCTTCATAGCGGCGCCCTGGCGCGCTCTGCGCGCGCCATCGCCGGGGCGAGAGATCCGCGCGGAACTCGCACGGGTTTTTGCTTGTGCCATGTTTCCGTCTGCCAGGCAGGCGGTCCAGGTGCCCGGCCGGATCCACCTATATTGGCTCGTGAAGAGCTCGGCCGAGCTGCAGTGGTGCCACAGCATGCTCGTGGGGGCCGCCGACGGCCC